TATATATATATATATGTATGTATATAAATATATAAATAAAACTTGCCAATTTTTTCATACAAGGCTGCATAAGCCTATCAAGCCATTGAATAGTGTAAAGGCTCTTATTTTCATGTCGGCTTGTACTTTCTGCACGCCTACAATTTCTACGCGCACCTCCAAAATTTCAAAACGATATTATACTTCATGTAAAAGTAACTTTTTAAATTATATATTTTGAAAATTTTTCAAAACTTTTGGAGTAAAATTTTCAAAACTAAATTTTTTCGATAAAATTTTCATAGCGTAGAAAATAATGTCTGGAAAAATATAAAACATCAATAAATTATCACCCACACTGAAAAGGAAAAATATGTTTAAGTCTCACGTGGTTATAAAATTAAACACTGCATAGAAAAAATCTTATAAACCTCATATTTCAAGTTTTCGAACTAATCTTTGCTGTAAAATAAATATCTGGATTATGGAAGGAGCAACTGGCAGCTTTTTGATCGAGAAGCGACGAGAGCAGTGGTATGGTACAATAGAACAGCATAATTAAGATTTGTTTCGGTGTAGATGTTTTCCAATGTATCTTTGTTGCTTTTGATTGTCTGGGACGATTGCTCTTCTCCAATTGTTGTTGTTCATACTCTTCAAAGGAGGGGAAGGTACCTGCAAAGATACTCCGACTACTACTCTGAAATATTATTTAGGGTCTCTAGAACATAGAGAGAACGTACCTGAACTTTTGCCCTGTCATTGTATTTATAAGCAAAATAAAAATAACCTCCTTACCTAAAAATGTGATTAGTTACTTATAAATATCTTAACCGTTTAAAATATCTAAGATATTTTATGTAATAAATATAATACTACATAACAAGATTCTTCAATTATTTTAAAGGTTAAACTTTTGATGTTTTCTTTGCAAAGTTGTCGGTTTTTTTCGATAAGTCCCCTTATTTAAAGACAAAAGTGTGCTTATTTTCATGTTTTTATACATAGTAACTTAAACACGTGGTTTTAATAAATAAAAAATATTATTTGAGACAGCTAACTTTCCTATCTTCTATTTTTTATTTTTGAAAAAATATAAAACTTTATCATCATCATTTTATTCTTCAATATCAAATAAATGTAAAACTTATCATGATACTATTATTTTAATAAAAGATATTATTGAATATACTTAAATTTTTTATATTTATTTAGTAATATTATTATCTTTTAAAATAAAAAAATTATATTTTATAACCATTTTATTTTTATATTTTATATCAAATAAATATAAAAGAGTGTTATGATATTTATTCCACATATTACATCAATTACCAATTGAATAAATATCGTTACTTTTTAATGCATAACAAATCAAATTCACATAGGATAACGATAGTTTGACAATATTTTAACATCATTTATATGTGTAATTGGTCTAAAATTATTCCACAATCAATAATAATAATCATAAACATCAATATAGACCAACCACAGAATGACACGTAAATAATATTAAAATATTGTCAAAAAATTGTTCTCAAAGTATTATTATCCATTCGCAAAGGATCATGATACTTTGACAACATTTTTTACAATTTTAATTGAATTGACATTTATTTCACAAGTAAAGATAAAATAGTTTTAAAAAATTAATTTTTTATAGTCTTTTAAAAAAAGAAAAAAAAATAAAGAAAAATAATATTCAATAAATATAAAAAAATTTGTAGGTAAAAGTATATTTTTCAATTGAATTAACCCTTTTATTATATTTTCTTCGACTATAAGGTTATTCGTCTTGGGATATGTACTCTTATCAACTTTGGTGTGTTGTGACTCCTCTGGTTACAATTTCAGTAATTTTGCGACATCCGAAATTGAAGGACTTATGATAAAAGAATATAATAAAAGAACAATGAAATATGCTAACAATTATTTTTAATAATAAAATATGTGTGGTATGTATATTTGAAAGGAAAAGGTTTTTTTAACAATTTTGACCACTTTTTAACGTCTATGTAATAATTTGTAATTATACATACCAAAATAATGACACTGTTACACATATTCTGTTGTAAAAAATTGTTAAAGAAAATTATTATTGTTAAAGAAAATTTTTAACTTATCATTGTCCTATTTGAAACAATTATCACAAATGCGGTTAATTGTTAAAAAAAAATCCAACCATATCCAAAGAACAGAGACAGAGTCAGTCGTTATTCATTTGATGTTTCATTGTCATCTACAATTACCCTCTAAAAAAAACTGAATAATCTCAAAGATGGATTCAGAAGGAGGAAGCAAGAAGCCACACGCTCTTCTGATCCCATTTCCATCACAAGGTCACATAAATCCATTTCTGAAACTAGCAAAGCTCCTCCACAGCAGAGGCTTCTACATAACCTTTGTGAACTCTGAATTCAATCACCGACGCCTCCTAAAATCTAGAGGCCCTGATGCCCTCAATGGCCTCTCAGATTTCCACTTCGAGGCCATTCCAGACGGTCTCCCTCCCACCGACATGGATGCAACTCAAAGCATTCCAGCTTTGTGTGACTCCACCAGAAAGAATTCTTTGCTGCCCTTATGCAACCTTATCTCAAAACTTAATCACTCTCATCATACTCCTCCAGTAACTTTCCTTTTATCAGATGGCGTCATGTCCTTCACTCTCAAAGCTTCTCAGCAATTTGGGTTACCCAACATATTCTTTTGGACTCACAGTGCTTCTGGTGTCATGAGCTACAAACAATGCAAGAATCTCATGGAAAGAGGCCTCACACCACTTAAAGGTGGGAACCATACAACATTTTATTCGAATCAATTAGCATTGAAATACGTATATATTATTTTTCGTTATGGTCTTGTTTTTCAGATGCAAGCTATTTGACTAATGGGCATCTAGACACTGTCATAGACTGGATACCTGGCATGAAGGATATCACTCTGAGGTATCTTCCTGACATCTATCGCACCACAGATCCAAATGATATACTTTTGGATTTTGTGGTAGAACAGACCGAAGCGACTTCAAGAGCTTCGGCAGTTATTCTTCCGACTTTTGATGCCTTGGAGCATGATGTGCTGGAAGCACTCTCCACGATGTTTCCTAAACTATACACCATAGGCCCTCTGGACTTGCTCCTTGATCAGACTTCAGAGAGCAAATTTGATTCAATTAAATGTAATTTGTGGAAGGAAGATTCCGAGTGTCTCAAATGGTTGGATTCACAGCAACCCAATTCCGTTCTCTATGTGAACTTTGGTAGTGTGACAGTCATGACGCACCAACAGCTTGTTGAGTTGGCCTGGGGGCTATCAAATAGCAAGAAAAAGTTTTTGTGGGTGATTAGGTCTGATTTAGTTAAGGGTGAGGCCCCAATCTTGCCACCTGAAATTGTTCGAGAAACCAAAGATAGAGGTCTACTGGTGGGTTGGTGCCCACAGGAACAAGTTTTGAAGCACCCAGCAGTTGCAGGGTTTCTTACTCACTGTGGTTGGAGTTCCACTCTTGAAAGCTTAACAAGTGGGGTACCTTTGATCTGTTGCCCCTTTTTCAATGATCAAATTCTTATTTGCAGGTACATTTGTCGTGAGTGGGCTTTCGGTATGGAGATCGATAGTGATAATGTTAACAGGGATGAAGTGGAAAAGGCTGTAAACGAGTTATTGGAGGGTGAGAAGGGTAAGGAGTTCAAGAAAAATGCAATTGAGTGGAAGAAAAAGGCACAAGAAGCTACCAGCACCGGTGGTTCATCCTTTTTGAATTTGGAAAAACTGGTTGATGAACTCTTGCTTTTCAAGAGTTTGGCTGCAAGAAACTAAGTTGAGATATACTTAGTTTACAAGTTACTAAGTTGTTATTTTTATCAGAGATATTGTTTGTAATGCTTTCTCCCAGAGATGATTTGAATAAGTTGTTTCCCAGTTGTGTTAATGTGGGATTCAATATTATGTCTTTCTGACGGATGCTATTCACTGTTTGAATGCTCTACTTTTTCGATGGGCAGACTATTCTTGTTTGGACTATCTCCAAAAATTTACAATGGTCTTGATACCTTCCTTCATAACCTCTTTCTTAGAGAAAAAAGAAGCAATCTTTGCAGTGGTTTAATTGCAATATGAATCGCGTGGAAGAGGCAGCTTGGCCCTATTTATTCTATTTTCTTTGCATATTTTAAAAGAATAAAAAGATGAGGTCCATGTTTTTTTTTTATTTCTTTGCTTTTCTGCTATACTTTTGTCATCTTTTGATTATATGCAAAATCATTATATAAACATATATTATACATTAGTATAAAATATTTAACATAAAAAATAACATTTTGTCTTCATTTGTTAGTCTTTTCTTTTTGTCTGGGAATTTTATACAACTCAAAGAAAAAGTCATTTGGATCCGAAAATCAAATGCGCTGTATTACAAGACCATGCATTTTTTGTGGGAAGAATGAATCTCTCCATTTTTGTACTATGGAGAACAAGACCATGCGCGATACGAAGGGAATAAAATAAAAGGTTCGTGCTTCTCGTGGCTGTACGGTCTATTCATTTCCTCTTACATTCATTTCTGATTATATAAAACACAACGCAGATACCATATCTTCCTCGTACAGAGATGGATCAAACAGTTTCAGATTATGGTAAGCCTCTTCATGTTGTGATGTTCCCATGGCTAGCCATGGGTCACGTGTACCCCTGCTTCGAGGTTTCCAAGATCCTTGCACAAAAGGGTCACTATACCACTCTGGTATCCACCCCTAAGATCATAGATCGCTTACCTAAACTCTCTCAAACCTTAACACCATTTGTTAAGCTAACCAAATTGCCCTTGTCTCCCCACACCGACCAAAACCATCTCCCACAAGATGCAGACTCTACAATGGACATTCCCTCCGACAAACTCTATTACCTCAAATTAGCCTACGATGCTCTCCAACAACCTATGGCTCAACTACTCAAAACTTCAAATCCTGATTGGGTTTTCTATGATTTTGCAGCCAGCTGGATACCCCAACTGGCCAAAAGCCTCCACATTCCCTGTGCCTATTTCAGTCCCTGCCCTGCCTGGAGCATATGCTTCTTTGACACACCAAAACAACAACTTGGTGAAGCTGCTGCCGACAGACCAAACCCTGAAGACTACTACGGCCCTCCCAAGTGGGTTCCTTTCCCCACAAACATCGGCCTAAGACCATACGAGGTGAGGAAGTTGTTAGAAGATGTCAAAGTTAACGAGACCGGTGCCTCCCCTGTTTTTGATCTGAATGAAGCAAATTCTGGTTGTGACATGTTTGTCATCAGAAGCTCAAGAGATCTTGAGCAAGAGTGGTTGGATTATCTGGCCGAGTTTTACCACAAGCCTGTGGTTCCTGTGGGGTTGCTTCCACCGATGCAAGTAATGGATTCTGAAGAGGGAGACAATAGCCCCGATTGGCTTAAAATCAAGGCGTGGTTAGATACCCAGGAAGGGTCATCAGTGGTTTACATTGCATTTGGGAGTGAGGTGAAACTGAGCCAAGAAAACCTCACTGAATTGGGTCTTGGCATTGAGCTTTCTGGTTTGTCTTTCTTCTGGGTTCTGAGGAAGGGGTCAGTCGAGCTGCTGCCAGATGGGTTTGAGGATCGGATCAAAGATCGTGGGGTTGTGTGGAAAACATGGGCACCCCAGCCTAAGATCTTGGCTCATAGCTCGGTTGGAGGTTGCTTGACTCACTGTGGTTCTGGTTCAATGATCGAAAATCTGTACTTTGGACACGTCCTTGTGATGTTGCCCTTCTTACTAGACCAAGCACTGTATTCAAGAGTGATGGAAGAGAAGAAAGTGGGAATCGAGATTCCAAGAAACCCGCAAGATGGATCGTTCACAAGGACCTCCGTGGCGAAGGCATTGAAATTGGCAATGGTGGATCATGAGGGAAGTGCTTACAGGAAAAACGCTAAAGAGATCGGCAAGAAATTTAGCAACAAAGACCTCCATAACCAATACATTCAAGATTTCATTGTTTCCCTTCAAAATTCAGGTATACAGAGCAAGTAAATGGATATGTATTTGATCATTTTAGCTATTACAGCTCTTTCTCCTTACCTAAACTTCACCATTTTCTTGCTTTCAAATAAACTCATTCAATTAAGAGTAAGTAAGAATAACCGTAGGATGATCCTTTTACATTTATTTAACACGAAAATAAAAATGATTATAAAAAAAGTTAACTTTTTTATTTTTTTAAGGAAAATAAAAAATTTAACGTCAAAATTTTATGTGTGTGAAATAATTATTTCTCTTCAGTTAAGCCACTGACTTGTTTGTGACCTGCCCAATCTTTTAAAATAAAAAAAAAAAATATAGTTTCACACACATAGTTTTGTGACCTGCCCAATCTATTAAAATATAAAAAAATATTTTAATATACATAATTTTTTTATATTAATTTGACATTACTCTTTTTATCTTTTTATTACTTCTCTATTAAAAACATATAAAAATTCACTTTTTAATAATGATTCTATCCTGTATCAAATAAACGTAGAAATATGTCATTCTATTCATTCCCCGTTAAATCAATGATTAATTTCACGACAAAAACTACCATATTTTGCCATTAACAGTTGTAGTTGGTTTGGCTAGTTATAAGAGAATATAAAAAGTAAAGTTTTTTAAACATAGAGACTTGTTATACTATTTATTTATTATTAAATTGATTAAATTATTTTATTTTATTTATCTATTTATACTATATTAAACAAGTAAACTTCAATTCTTTTTCTCTGTGTATTTATTTCATGTTTCTTTATTTTCATTATCTAAATTTTATTTTAAATAATAATTTTTTGAGACACTTAAATCTTTTATATTCATTTGATATTATCTTTCTTTATTTTTTATTCTCTTATTTAAAAAAAATACAAAAATTTACATTTTTATAATCATTTTATTATTATATTTTATGTGAAATAAATATAAAAGTACGTCGTATCACTCTTACTCATTTTATTTTTTCTTGCAACCGAACAAACATACACTACGTTAATTTCTCGCGCCACAGAGAAAGGTAAGTCTGGTGGAAGGCAGAGAGAGGGTTTCCCAAAATATTAAATTAGATTAAATTAAAAACTTGTTAAACCTAAAAAAACTTGAGCACTAATTTAAAATTTGAATTACTATTTTATAATAAAAAGAATGATTTAGTGCATTATTCAAATTATTGTTGAATTTAATTGTTAAAATTATTTCAATATTAAGAATATAGTCCACTAGATTAATAGCTACGCTGTATAGCCTCTGAAAATGGAAGTGCAATTTGTGATTTTATAGGTTTTGTTGGACTCTGAATGTGAATTTGAACAAATAGATTGATTCGAGGAAATAGATGAGGAAAGTGAGTTTTCTTTTTTTCATAAGATAGAAGGGAGAAAATAAAAATACTTAAAAATAAAAATTTATAGAAGTTTGTGAATGATAAAATGAATATGAAAAAAACATTAATAAATTAAAATATAACCCAAATTAACATTAACGTTCTACTTACCCAAAGCAAGAATTTAACATTAAGGTTCTACTTTCTTTTAACTAGGTTATAGCTTGCAAAGTAAGTATAGGAGGAAGAAAATTTGAAAGGGAAATTGAGGGAAATTTAGTCAGTTTTTTTTTTTTTTAAATAAAAGTTATATCAAAATATACTATTTGCAAATATGAACTATTTTGGTTTGGTTATTTTTTTTATTCATATATACATAGTTGACATCAATATTATTCTTTATTAATATTCTATTTGATTTTTTTTTTCAAATGCTAATTGGAAAAGTATATAACTGACATTGATTATGATTTTTTTTTCTAGCGTCAATTGGGTGAATTTTTATCCATTTCCATTAAAAAATATCTAAAAAGAAAACTCTTACTACCAGTTTTGTAAAAATATGTGCAAAGAGTGATCATCAGTAAGAAAGCTTTGCTATTTGCACCCATGTTAATGTATTCCATCTTCCATACATCATAATTTATGAAATTATGATAATTATTATATTAATTTTTTGTTATTCTATGAACTCTGTGGTTGTGTTATATTTGGCATGATCTACTTGTTAATCTATAATACTCTAAATATGTGAGTGAATTTTTTTATTACAAATTTGAATTCAATATTTAGCAAACAAATTTTATTCTATCTTTTATTTTATAATTTTAAATATAAATGTTAAGAAATAGTTTATGAAAAAATATTTAAAAAATAAATTGGAAACATTAATTATAAAATATTATGTTTAAATATAATAAAAATAAATTATTTTTTATCACTATTAAAATTAATTTTTAACTATAAATATTAACATCAACATTTCATTTATAATGTTTATTAACAACTTTGAATATATAAAAAAATTATTTTTAAGTAAAATAAAATTTGCAATTTTTTATTAAAAAAATTAAAATAAAATGTATATATTTTTTTCAAACAAAAAATTATAGGTTTCTTTTCAATTTTATAATGTAGAAAATTTTTGTTTAATATATGAATTATTGTAATTTTAGTTTTGCGTACTTCCAATATTGATAACTATAAAATTATTATAAGGAATGAAACATTAATTATGAATAAATTATGTTTTGAGAGATTTTATTAAACTTAAATATATAATGAAAACTAAAATTTAATAGTGATAAATTATTAAATGGTAATATTGCTATGTGGAGATAATTTCAGGATGATTTTGAATATTGTGATAAAATAAGATGTCATATAAGTGATCAATAAATTATTTAAATAACAGAGAATGTGTTGTATTGTATGATTGTACTATCCATTTTGTGAATTCTACAACTCTACTCTAATCAACCCAAGGATTACTTCAATATAAGAATAACACAAATAATCATTAACTTATAATAAAACAGGATTACGAGCAATTATGTCGAGATTAAACCTTTATTAGTCAAAAATCAATTCCAAAAATTATAAATACAGACTTAAAATAAGGAGTAGATAATTTACATTTATTTATTACGGAGGTAGATGATTAAACACTTACTTTGACATAGAATATCATACGCACACTTGCAATTTAACCTCAACATTTATTCAAAAACTTTGATATCAACTATTTATCAATGAATTTTGTTATTTTTATTTAATTAGAAAAGTGTATTTGAAAATTTTAAATTCTTTTTTATCCAATTTGTAATTCAAAACTTTATAAATTTTCTCTTTCGATTTGTGAGTCAAAGTTATCTGTCTTCTAAATATTGTGAGTTAAAACATTTATCTTTATCTTTCTTATTATAAACTCAACATATTATTTTACGCTAAATCATTATAGAAAACAATATTTAGAAACAATTTATATTGTTACAAACAAACTTATCATTGTTATTATTTATTATTTTAATTATTATTATCATTATTCTAATAATTGTCACATAAATTTTATTAATTGTCTTCTAAATATTGTGAGTTAAAACATTTATATTTATATTGTTACAAACAAACTTATCATTGTTATTATTTTAATTATTATTATCATTATTCTAATATTTGTCACATAAATTTTATTAATTTCTATGTATAGTAAAATATAGGATTAATTTTTAGTGAAAAATTAAATCTTTTAAAATTAAAGAATTAATTTGAATCAAAATTTAAAAAATACTAATTCTAATTTTCACTACAAATTTTAAAAAATATATTTAATCCTAAAATATATTCATATAAATATTCTATAATTTTTTATTTCAATAAACTTGCACTGGTTAAATAAAATAAAAGACGCGAGGACCTCGTTCCACAGCTGTCTTTTGTAATGGTATTTAAATAATTTGACACGTGATTTATAGCTATGGATTGTCGGCTATCTCATTACAAATTTGCGTCCTTTCCATATTATTCAATGTATTTAAGTTATCTGGTACATGTGATTGATGACTTTGTTATATATATTGTTTAACTTTAAAGAAAGTTTTTTTTTTCAATGGAAAAGAAGTTATAATAAATGTCATAGTCATAATATCTAACAGTTGGTTCTTACCATAAAATTCTCATGTTATATAACATTGTGTACAACATTCCAAACATTTAATTTTATTTGTACTTGTTTTTTTTTTTCTGTTTTTATTTCTCTGATATACAATAAAATCTATAATATTAATAAATCATTTTTTTTCAATTACTTTTGTAGTATATGCAATTTTTTATTTTATTTTTAACTATTTTTTAATATAAAAAATCACCTATGACAAAACTGTAAACGTTGTAATTACTTTCTATAAAAATAATTTTATACTTAATAATATTTATGTTGTAGTAATTATCATAATAAAATTATGTTGTTAATATAAGAAGAAAATAGACAGATATGTCCCTTGTATTTGATTAATGGAAATAAAATAACAGCCCCGAGGACCTCGTGGCATGATTTTCTTTGGTTTTACAAATAGCCTATGGACATGGATGGTCTGTTCTGCAGTTTTACAGCTAACGTGGTGCACTTTGATGGATTGAATCAAAATTACTCATTCCTTTATTATAAATAAAATATAATTATACTTTTTATAATATTTTTTATAATATTTTAACATTATTTATGTGTTATGTTATTAATTCATAGTCTATATTAGTATTTTTAATTATTATTATTAATTATGAAGTAATTTTAAATTAATTATAAAATAATACAGTGATGTTAAAATGTTAGTAAAAAAATGTTATGAAAATTATTATTATTATCCTAGATAAAATTTGGTGTTTTAAGAGTTATGATCGGTGCAGCTTAAAAGTTGAACCGCAGAGGATGTGAACCCATAATAATATTATATTACAGGCACGTGGTCCGGGACATGTTTACTTTTCTATGATCTCAGATGAAAACAAACTGAAGACTTAATATAATTTGTTGGTTTCTCTGTGTAAAACAAAGATATCATCCTCTCCCTGGCTACTGAGTACTTTAACAAAGATATCGGTACACGCTTTACTTGTTGATGGATTCTGCTGGTACAGTTTCAGCTCAAGCAAATGGCAATGGCAATGGCAAAATCGAGAAGCCTCTTCACATAGCCATGCTCCCGTGGCTGGCCATGGGTCATATATATCCTTACTTTGAGGTGGCCAAGATTCTTGCTCAGAAGGGTCATCATGTAACCTTCATAAACAGTCCCAAAAACATTGATCGCATGCCCAAAGCTCCCAAAAACTTACAACCATTCATTACATTGGTGAGACTACCATTGCCACAAGTAGAGCATCTTCCAGAAGGTGCAGAGAGCACCATGGAACTTCCCCCAGGAAAGAACTGTTTCCTCAAGAAGGCTTATGAGGGTCTCCAAGTTGCCGAGGTGCTCAAAACTTCCAAGCCTGATTGGCTATTCTACGACTTTGCAGCTGCCTGGGTAATCCCAATAGCTAAAAGCCTCAACATTTCCTGTGCGCATTACAACATAACCCCAGCTTACAACAAAGTCTTCTTTGATCCACCAAAGGGCAAAATGAAGGATTTCTCCATTGAAACCATATGTGGCCCTCCCACTTGGCTTCCTTTCCCCACAACACTTCGTCTCAGGCCTTATGAGTTCCTCAGAGCATTGAAACGTAACAAAGACGAGGAGACAGGGGAAAAGGCTAACTTTGATCTCAACAAAGCATATTCCAGCTGTGACTTGTTTCTTCTCAGAACCTCCAGAGAGCTTGAGGGAGAGTGGTTAGATTATCTTGCTGATAACTACAAGGTCCCTGTGGTTCCAGTGGGGTTGCTTCCACCATCCATGCAGATAAGAGATGTTGAAGAGGAAGATAAAAACCCTGACTGGGTCACAATCAAGGACTGGTTGGACGGAAAAGAGTCCTCTTCAGTGGTGTACATTGGATTTGGGAGCGAGTTGAAGCTGAGTCAGGAAGACCTCACTGAGTTGGCCAATGGCATTGAGCTTTCCGGGTTGCCTTTCTTTTGGGCTCTGAAGAACCTGAAAGAGGGGGTGCTCGAGTTGCCAGAAGGGTTTGAGGAGAGAACGAAGGATCGTGGGATTGTTTGGAAGGGTTGGGCACCCCAGCTTAAGATCTTGGCTCATGGGGCAATTGGGGGATGCATGAGTCACTGTGGTTCTGGTTCTGTGATTGAAAAACTTCATTTTGGGCATGTGCTTGTGACCTTACCTTATTTGCTTGACCAAGCCCTGTTTTCAAGGGTGCTGGAGGAAAAGAAGGTGGCCATTGAGGTGCCAAGGAGCGAGAAAGATGGGTCCTTTACTGGGGACTCTGTGGCCAAGACATTGAGGTTTGCAATCGTGGATGAAGAGGGAGGTAGTTTAAGGAAGAATGCAAAGGAGATGGGGAAGGTTTTCAGTTCTGCAGAACTTCACAATCAATACATCGAAGGTCTCATTGCTGCACTTTACAAGTATAGGATTCCTTCCACCAGTTAAGCAGCGTTTATGCCTTCTATTTTCTCAATTTTCTCTTCTTTTATGTGCTTCTTCCTCTTGTAATAAAGGAATACCACTTGAACAAGGCTTTTCAGAAGTGGTTAGTAGCCCTAATTTTTGTTGTAGTGTCAGGTTTATTTATCTGTGTATGCTTATTCCAATGTGAAATTAATAATGCTGCGAATGCCTATAATTTCCTTTTAACTTTTTTCAAGACCTAGCTAATGTATAGTGTTCGCCTTCTAAATAATAATTATAATAGTCAAGTGACTCATTTTAAAGAGACAGTTCTAATAAAGATCACAGGAATAAAAACTAAATTCAGGGTGACCTGCATTTTGCGTAATGCAGGGGTGTATTATGGATACACATTATCAGATATAATTATTCTTTAATGAACAATCTAATTTATTTAGCATACGTTTGTTTTCTCCTTCAACCCCCATTTCTCTTCACAAGTTTAAGATATTGGTTATTCCTATGAGTTTAATGTGTTTCTTACAAAAATAGTTCTTAGATATTTAGTGAAGATTGCCAAATATCTTACTGCACAGAATACTAAACTTTACTTTTTTAAATTACTATATTTTACCCTTAAAAGTGGTTGCATTGAATGTAAAACAAGAACATTTCCCTTCCACTTCGGCTCATGAATGAATTGAAACCAAACTCACCTATGTAATTATGCTATGTTTATACTATTCTTGAGCGAACTTCCTTGCTAATGATGGGCCTTGAACAAGTCCAAGTATGCGTTGGCCCCATGATTAAATAGGTCCTTGATTAATGTAATTTTCCCATTAGAGTCATCTTTGTCTAATCTTGACTTATTAATAATTAAGCGAATGTGGTATGCCCACGAAAACTTTAACTATCGGAGTTGAGGGTTACTCCCTCCACCATCACACTCCTGCACCTCTTCATTCTTATTTTGTCTTGCACTTAAAAGTTTTTTCTAACGAGGATGGATGTAAATCAAGATTCATTAAACAACACATCTCCCACCCTCTCACTTTTTTAAAACTCTAATTCTCCAACCCCCATTCCTTCACTTTTCTCTTTCAACGATTTCTTTTATTTTTTAACAATTTTTTATACATAAAAAATATTACAAAAATTATTAAATTATGTAAAATCTATATAAATAAACATTTATGATGTTCAGAAATTAAAATCTACAAAAAAAATTAATAAAACTAAAAACAAAAAAAAATTAATAAAAGAGTTGAAACGCGAAGGCCTGAAATCAGTTCAGTCTTCAACCGATATCCGTGAATGGATCTCAAGATCTGTTGAAGGTTGAACGGATTTCCTACATTCGTTCAAACCTTCACATTTCTCTTCTTCCTCTTACACAGTACACCACATACATCCGTTTACAGAGCACATATACAAAAAGAACAAAAAAAAGAAAGTTTTAACCACAAAAATGTGCAAGAGAAAAATAAACGAAGAAAAAGAGGGAGGGGGTGGGGGCTCTCTGTGTGCAAAGAAGAAAGGAAGAGAAAAAGTGAGGGGTAAGGTTTATGTGTAATTAGAGAAAGAGAAAAGTGAGGAGGTGGAGGGAGTAGAGGCTGCAAAATTAAAGTTTTAAAAAAGATAAATAAAGTTAAAGGATAAAAGTTAAAAAAGTTTAATCTAGGATATTTTTGGAATAAAAAAATCTGAAAAGTTGTAGAAAGTAGTTAGGATGCTGGAGAGAGGAACTCTCATCGGTCTTTACGAAATTGTCAACTTGGGCCTCCTCTTAGTCCAAGACTTTTTCGGTGAGGATCCAAGCTGCGTTGAATAATAACTTTTACGAGAATGAGTTAATGAGAGTATAAAAATGATAATCGGCTTTACAAATGTATTTGATAATTTACAATTAAAAACATGTATATAATACGTGATCTGTATGGGTAAAAGAACTAATTATAAGACAAAACTAAGTTTTGCATGATTAAATCATATAACGAGGACTCTAATGAAAACTTGATTTTGGTTTTTTTCAATTTGTGATTTGAATATGACAATACAAATCTGAGAATTTTGTTACAGTTACGTATGACTTATTTCTGATCCCCTCGAAGAAATCTTTTCAAGGAAACCAACGAGGAAAAGGTTAAAAAAAAACAGTGGAGAGGATTTGAAGACTTGTTTCAAACCCTCACAATAAATGGATGCTTCAAGTTTCCCACATGAAGCAGATGTTGTCCCAGTGGAACTTTCCTGTTGCCAAGCTCATCAACCACACTCAAATCCTTGCAAACATCTACCTTGAACCTAACCTGTGCTTCTGATTTTCCTGGTAAGTGTACTTTCTCAAAACCCAACAAGTGTTTCTGAGGAGCATTATGCACATCAGGAGGAGTAAAGAACAATAAAACTACATGGTTACTGCTTCTTTGCCCCATGTTCTTCACCCCAAGGTGGATATCAAAGGCCAAGTTTTGGCAATGTTCATCAGCAACATCAAGTGACATGCATTCTGATGAACGACATTCATGATTCTCTGCTAGAGGAACAGACACCAACTGTGGTGCCTTAACTATTTTGTGATCAATATTTGAGAAACTTATTCCATCTCCAAAGGAGAAAACAGTTTCCCCTTTGTAAAATCTATATGTTCTACCAGGGTAACCTGTTGCAGGATCTGCCCTCATGTTCATGTTTGTCATTGGTACCTTGTTTACATATGATTGAGGATACCATGTCATGGGAAGCCTTCCACCTGCATCAGGAAATCATACTCCGGGGTCAAAGTTGCAACATCACAGGATTGAATTTTTTTTATTCAAGAGAGAACTTTGAATAACGACTTACTTGGATTATAAAACCCAAAAATCACGTCTGCTATGGCAGCTCCACCAGCTTCGCCAGGGTAGCCAACCCATAGGATGCTTGTGATTTTATCATTAGATTTAGCAAAAGACACATCCATTCCCCCACCAGACATGATGACAAGAATCACAGGTCCCTTGGATGCATTTGCAACTTGACTCACTAGAAGTTGTTGCTGTCCCGGAAGAAGAATGTTGATTCTGTCAAGACTCTCGGCCTCTATAGCCAGACTTGCACCCACTATGATCACAGTTGCATCTGCAGATGCTGCTATTTGTGTGGCATCATCCAACTCCGCATTCGCACATTGCACGTTTGCACATCCAGGAGCATAGCTCGTAGGAACTAACGCTGTCAGGGCTTGCAAGGGTGATATATAGCTACAAGGAATGCCTGCAAAATTTCAGTAACTCATCAAATCCCATGTTAAGCACGAGGTAAAGATAAAAAAATGTTCAACTCTCAGTCAATAGGTTTGCCAAATTTGGCAGTTACCAACTTTATATCCATGAGGGTATCATAAGAGATTGAATTTTGTTTACCTTCATAGTTTCCAATCATGACTCTAGTAGCATTAGCATTAGGCCCTATCACTCCCAATGATTTAATGGCTTTGGCACTGAGAGGCAAAGAACCTGCACTATTTTTAAGCAACACAATTCCTTGCCTTGCAGCTTCACGTGCCAGCTCCCGGTTCTCTGAAGTGCATACATCCTTCGGACCAAGGTTTCCATAAGGTTGCTTGCTTGGATCACCATCAAAGAAACCAAGACGCATCAATGTGGCGAAGTTGTTGGAGACAGCATTGTTAATGGCCGCTTCATCCACAAGCCCTTGGTTCACTGCACCTTCTGTATATTTGCCAAGATAATCTCCACAGTTCAAATCCAACCCTGTGAAATCAAAATTAACATAAGCAAACAGGTATCTTGCATAATTTGTGCAAATGGCTATCACGATTTATTGATGCTCCAGAGTCTTTTCATGTTTTCTGACCTGCAAGAATAGTTTGGGCTGCAGCTTCTTCAGGAGTTTTGGTGTAGTGCTGATCTTTGAAAAGAACTTCTACGGAATCACAGTCCGATACTATATATCTGAACATACCACATACTCATATCACATTAAAAACCACATTAACAAACATAATCAATTTACCTTACGTAAATTACAAGATTAAGGAATTAAAGATACCCGTTTAATTTCCATTTGCCCCGGATAATCCCCTTGAGAAGGTCAGGGTCTGCGCAGGTTGGTTTTCCATTAACCTGGTTGTAGGAACACATGACACTGGCAACATTCCCGTCTATCACACAGCTCTTAAACGGTGGTTGGAAAGTGTCATCCAAATCTTGTTGTGTCACCTAACAAATTCAACATATTAGAAGGGGTGACCAAATGATTGTTCTGGATTTAAATCACATGAACGTTGAGTTTTGAATCAATGTATGCAGTAGATTACCACAGCATTGAAGGTGTAACGCTGAACACCTTTCCAGTTATCCAAATCATAGGCTGTATAGTGTTTACAACAAGCAGCAACCTTGAGCTTGTTGGAGTCTCCATCATCGGTTTGTTGAAGACCTTTCACGTATCCTGATGCATATTTACTACTTAGCAAAGGGTCTTCCCCCGGTGTCTCCTGTCCTCTTCCCCATCTCGGATCTCTGAATATGTTTATGTTTGGCGACCAATAAGTCAAACCGGCTAGCCCCACATTGTACATTGCTCTGGCTTCAGTTGAAACTACCTGGAATGAGAACAGTTAATCCTAAACATCACTGAACAAATAACCTTGCATCCAAATATAGCTTATGATACATTTTGATTATTTAAAGCAATTTAATCCTTTCCCATTTAAATGGGCTATCACAATTGAAAATAGAGGGAGTGATCAATGTTTAAACTATATCCTTGGCAAACAATCAACATCAAACCCTCTCTGTCATTCACATTAGATTTTCAACACGCGAGCTAGAAAAAGGGGACACATAAATATATACAGTTTCACCATAAATTTCTGCTTCATTCATTATTGTATCGGTTAATCAGATGTTAATACCTAAAAGTCGTGACTGAAAAAAAAACAATGTAACCACCACTACCCATCCATCTAGTTCTCCTGATCAATTAAGGATAGCTTCAACCTTTCTGCTACAAACAACTCTAAATAACTGCATATTAACAAAAAACAAAAAATTGAAGAACAGCTGAATCACTTATGTACAGTGTACAGCATTATGAAAGCAATAGAGAAGTCCC